AAGATGTCAATCTATCAGTGTGTGTATTCCACACATAGCTACAACTCCCTTCCTAGGAGCATTCTAGACCATGGGAAAAAGCGAAATTGCTTCCTTGTTATTGAGCACCTCTGCTCGGTTGGTCACTGCGAATTAAAATAAAATCAACAGGTACAACAAAAGGCCGGAAACCTGGCCGATATTCACAAATTCTGCCTACCCAGGCATTGCGAATTCACTGCAGACTGCTGTTACCATTTTCCCTTTTTCATTTGTCTAGATCCAGTTCATACTATCCAGTTACTACGCTATAACCAGATTGTCATGGCCAACGTCATCCGTCCAGACTTTTACGTGGATTTCCCCGGCTACAGTTTCGACTTCTCCCACTGTGCTATAATCAATGACGCTCATGTGCTCCTGCGACTGACAAAATTCCAACCTCAAGTCAGCGTGCGTAGTGTCAAGTTCACCCTGCAGGAGTCTGAGGCCATCATAAAGCACCTTGCCAACTGCTCGCGCAACACAACTTGCTCTATGAACTGCACCACAGGGTTTTTCCAGGGCACCATCGACTTATTTGCACCAGACCAAACGCAGGCATTTGATATTAAACCTCTTTGGCTGCAGGACTCATCGACCCCTCTTGGTAAGCAGTCTATGTTGCCGTTCTGTTGCTGTTCTGTTGCTGTTCTGTTGCTGTTCTGTTGCTGTTCTGTTGCCGTTCTGTTGCCGTTCTGTTGCCGTTCTGTTGCTGTTCTGTTGCTGTTTGTTTGCTGGTGCTGCTGTTATGGTTGAGGAAGCCTGTCCGGGGAATCTCCTTAGCCTGCTTGAGCATATTGTGTGTAGCTCAAAGGATCGAGTGATTTGATCTTTGTGTTGCTTCAGATTCCCTTGGCAATGTCTCTGATTCCGGGCTCACATATCAAGGTAAGTACAATGCCTTTATGGATTTTGGAAACACTTTTCAGTATTTGCTAATCGTCGCAAAGTTGGGAATACCCTGTTCTGTCCTGTGCTTGTGTGCATGTTTATTTTAGTGGTGTGCACGGGTAGTCGGGTACCCGTGCTACCCGTGAGGACCTCGGGGAAAACCCGAAGTCGCAGATGACATCATGTAGAAAGAAAGAGAGAGAGAGAGAGAGAGAGAGAGAGAGAGAGAGAGAGAGAGAGAGAGAGAGAGAGAGAGAGAGAGAGAGAGAGAGAGAGAGAGAGAGAGAGAGAGAGAGAGAGAGAGAGAGAGAGAGAGAGAGAGAGAGAGAGAGAGAGAGAGAGAGAGGGAGAGAGAGAGAGGAGAGAGAGGAGAGAGAGAGAGAGAGAGAGAGAGAGAGAGAGAGAGAGAGAGAGGTCTACAGTGCACGTGTACACATAACTCACGCAGTGTGTAAGGGAAGGGGTCGGTGTGCATTGTGGTCTTACGATGGAAACATTACCCGATCGGGTACCCGTGCTACCCGTGGAAAACTACCCGGACCCGAAACCCGAAGAAAATGCTACCCGACTCAGCCCTAGTTTATTTGTTCACTTTATCAGGTAATGACTGAGAATACGTGTTTGTGTGTTTGCGTGAATTTGCGTGTGTGTGTGTGTCATTTTTGATTGTGTTTGTGTGTGTGTGTGTGTGCACGCGCGTTTGTGCCTCTCTTTGCGCATGTTCTTACGTGTTTGCCTCCAGTTCGGCTAGCTAAAGCACAACCTTTGAATTGTAAGTTTGTTTTGTACCTTCATCCTGTCTTCATTGGTTCTACGAAGAGTACATAAGCGCCGAATAGTGTGCGACTCTGAATACTATACCCTTTTATGGGGTCTCCAGGTCTCACATTTTTGTTTTGGCCCCTGTTGCCACGTCATAAAACAATCGTCTCGCACATGCAGTGCTCTCCAATCTCTTCTCTCCTCCTCCTCTCTCTCTCCCTCTCTCTCTCTCTCTCTCTCTCTCTCTCTCTCTCTCTCTCTCTCTCTCTCTCTCTCTCTCTCTATCTATCTATCTATCTATCTCTCCCTCTCTCTCTCTCTCTCTCTCTCTCTCTCTCTCTCTCTCTCTCTCTCTCTCTCTCTCTCTCTCTCTCTCTCTCTCTCTCCCCCCCCCCCCTCTCTCTCCCTCTCTCTCTCTATTTCTCTCTCTCTCTCTCTCTCTCTCTCTCCCTCTCTCTCTCTCTCTCTCTCTCTCTCTCTCTCTCTCTCTCTCTCTCTCTCTCTCTCTCTCTCTCTCTCTCTCTCTCTCTCTCTCTCTCTCTCTCTCTCTCTCTCTCTCGTATATATAATCGAATACTATTTGTCGTGTTTCTGCCCTGTACATGCCGCACTTCCCTTGTCTCCTTTTCTTGTTTATTGTGCTTTACTTCTCCCGACCTCAGCACTGGCGGGGAGTACTGTAGCTAATTTTTGTGTCCGGTTACTCATTGCAGCCGTAGTCTAGGGCCGACGTAAAACCGTCTCAATATGGGCATGTGTGCGTGTGTGTGTGTGTGTGTGTGTGTGTGTGTGTGTGTGTGTGTGTGTGTGTGTGTGCCAGCTAGTGCGGTTGGTGGGTACACTTATGCCTGATTGTGTTGGGTCTGTTGCCAACAGGCTCGGCTGCTTGAAGGTGTAATGTTGTACCTGCCACCTTTGTTGGTTGCAGGGTTCATATACTTTCTATTTGAAGTATACATACCTGTTAACCATGGACTGCTTCTGGCTAGATTAACTCTTGTGTAATCAACGGTGCTTAGTGAAGCTTATATCAGATCCACTCTGATTTAGCCACCCACACTAGTAGCAAGTATTGCCTTCACTTGGGGCAAGGGTAACTGCAGTTGGATCCCTGGACGGATACCCTGATGCCGTGAATCCTTTTTCTGCGCCTTGTTCTCACCCACTTACTGAGGTGTGGTGAGCCCATAAGTGGGATCATTTTCAAGTCCACCCAGAGTTTTGGGGATTTCAGGGGGTGTCGGCCTTTGGGTGGTTCAATAGCCAATTGAGTCATCTTTCCAAGATTCCTGTCGAGTCTCTCTCCCCTCTCCCGGGGAGACCCACATGACCAGTTTTGGCAGTGAGCAACAAGTACAAGTGTGTGTGTGTGTGTGTGTGTGTGTGTGTGTGTGTGTCGAAAAAGAAAAATGAATGAAAAATATGGAAAAAATGAAAAATGAAAATATAGGGATTCACTGGCCAGAGAAAAAACCACTTCAATCAGCTGTGTGATGGATACTAGGCTTAAATTAGCTGCGGTCAATTCATCAGCCTTGCAAGCTGTTGAATGAAGTAATCCCAGCACAAGTTGCTATGTCTAACATAGCTGTTCGCTATCATCGCTTCCACGATGGGCATGTCTGAGGTCTGAGGTGTGTGTGTGTGTGTGTGTGCATGTGTGTGTGCATGGTGTGTGTGTGCGTGTGTGTGTGTGCGTGTGTGCCAGCTAGTTCGGTTGGTGGGTACACGTATGTCTGATTGTGTGGGGTCTGTTGCCAACAGGCTCGGCTGCTTGAAGATGTATTGTTGTATCTGCCACCTTTGTTGGTTACAGGGTTCATATACTTTCTATTTGAAGTATACATACCTGTTAACCATGGACTGCTTCTGGCTAGATTAACTCTTGTGTAATCAATGGTGCTAGTGACGCTTATATCAGATCCCCTCTGATTTAGCCACCCACACTAGTAGCAAGTATTACCTTCACTGGGGGCAGGGGTAACTGCAGTTGGATCCCAGGACGGACACCCTGATGCCGTCAATCCTTTTTCTGCACCTTGTCCTCACCCACTTACTGGGGTGTGATGAGCCCACAAGTGGGATCATTTTCAAGTCCACCCAGAGGTTTAGGGATTTCAGGGGGTGTCGGCCGTTGGACGGTTCAATAGCCAATTGTGTCATCTTTCTAAGATTCCTTTTGAGTCTCTCTCCCGTCTCCCGGGGAGACCCACACGACCAGTTTTGGCAGTGAGCAACAAGTACAAGTGTGTATCTGTGTGTGTGTGTGTGTATGTGTGTTTGAATGTGTGTGTGTATTTGTGTATGTGTGTATTTTGTATGTGCATTTGTCTCTTTGTGTTCTCAGATTGGGGATCTGGAAATATACGGCTCATCAGCAAAACAGACGCGGTTATCCTTAATTTGACACTATGGGGCTCTAAAATAAGAAACCCAGGCAGGAACTCATCCAAAGTTCTACAGGAGATTTCCCTAGCTAATTCTTCATGTACTCTGAGTGACTCCAGCCGCTACAAGTATAGCTATAGGTTCCAGGCCGAATCTTTGGGTGTTTTGGACAGCGACGGTTACTTGGAGATTCGACTTAATCATTTGGACAGCCTGGCTTTGAAAAACGTGTATTCCAGTGGAGTGTGTAACGTACCTGTTGGTTCCCCCGTCTGTTTGCTGGACTGTGAGGCTGGCATTGTCAACTATAACCAGACCACCGTCTACCCAGCTTTCAGCTTGGTGCTATACCACTTTCAACCAGTGGTAGATGAGATTGTACTGCAGCAGCCTTTGTATGAATGTGAGTTTCATGTTCTTTTGTATGAATGTGAGTTTAATGTTCTTTTGTATGAATGTGAGTTTAATGTTCTTTTGTATGAATGTGAGTTTAATGTTCTTTTGTATGAATGTGAGTTTAATGTTCTTTTGTATGAATGTGAGTTTAATGTTCTTTTGTATGAATGTGAGTTTAATGTTCTTTTGTATGAATGTGAGTTTAATGTTCTTTTGTATGAATTTCAGTTTAATGTTCTTTTGTACGAATGTGAGTCTAATTAATGTTCTTTTGGTTGAATAGAGAGGTTCCGGAGTACGGAACTTATGTGTTTGCCGTCATTGCCTAGGTTACGATCGCAAACACGTCACATTCCCGCGCTATGCATTTTTTGAAAATTTAGGTGTGTGTGTGTATGTGTGTACGTGTGTGTGTGTATGTGTGTACGTGTGTGTACGTGTGTGTGTATGTGTGTGTACGTGTGTGTATGTGTGTGTATGTGTGTGTGTATGTGTGTATGTGTGTGTACGTGTGTGTATGTGTGTGTACGTGTGTGTATGTGTGTGTGTGTATGTGTGTGTACGTGTGTGTACGTGTGTGTACATGTGTGTGTATGTGGGTTTGTGTGTGTACGTGTGTGTGTGTGTGTGTGTGCGTGCGTGCGTGCGTGCGTGCGTGTGTGGTCCAGGGAGTCAATCGTAGCATAAAGGGAGATGGTGTTGTCCAGGTTTTCGTTTGAAAAAGCACTTTCAAAGTCAATACATCAAAAGAGTGTGGCACATCGTGTAATATCCGACCGCCTGGGTGGGCTGTAATGGAGCATTATTGCACGCTGAGAAAGGTCCCTGATTGGCGATAACAGCAGTAACTGTCACCTGATGTCATGATAATTATGTCTTACCCTGAGTCTTATCTTGCGTGTCAAAGTGTATTTGATCCTGAATTCCCAATCCTGCATGTTATCCCGCGTGTGATCTTTCGTGTGATAATCTGCATTACCCTGCACACGCTTGGGGTTAAACTGTTCAAGTATCCCTGCCGTCTATGGTAGGCTCTGTAGGATGGCAGCATTTAACGTGACCGGTTGTATCACCCCGTGCATTGTTCTGTTCTTTACTTACTCAGCTGCTGACTACTGCAAGTGGAACGAGACCATCTGTACGGCCAAGGGCGCTCTGTGCCGAGAATACAAACAGACGGGTCTGCACACGTGTCACTGTAATGGTACCAACGTGACGAACATAGACAGCTATGCATTGAACTGCTTCTCTGGTAAGAGCCATCAATGCCCCGCCATCACTGCTGCGTCTCATTGCAGCCCCTGCTCAGTAGTTGTCACGTTTGTCCTTGCCTCAGTAACATTGTCTTTCATTATTATTTATGAGTTGGGTATGTGAACATAGTAAAAAATAAAATAAAACGGAAATTGATGGACGCTGTTACTCTTTTCTTCCTTCTTCTCCGACTGTCTTATCGTTGCTAGTTTACAGGGCGTAAAAGCGGTGTTAATAACTGGCCCATGTACGCCTGAAACCACACGTTTGTTCTTACATTCACTGGATTTGGTGGGCTCTTGCGTAAGGAAATGTGTTGACAGGGAAATTCTGACACGTGAGCTATGATCTCAGTGAATGGACCTTAAGCTGTGTTCACAACTGGCACGTGGACGCGGTACGCTTGCGGTTCATGCGTGGCCAAACGCGCGCTCAGGCTTCACAAAAAAAGAGCAATCTGAGTCGTATTTAGCGAGTGCGACACCTTCGAGTACTAATTCTTTGACCCCGCCAGTCAAGTGACTGCCATATACGCTGGTACGCGCCTGATACGCGCTGAAAATTCCAACATGTCGGAATTTCTATTTCGGCGCGTTCCGTACGCATGGCGCCCCAAAAGCCAGCAAAAAATACGCACAAACGCGTGGTTTCATGCGTACACGCGCCAGTTGTGAACACAGCTTTAGGAGTGAAATTTTTGAAATTCCCTTTTTATTTGTAAGATGTACTTTAGTATGTAGACTTCCATGTGACAAACTTTCACATCAATATTAGCCATACAAGTCCCTTGAATTCTCCACATTGTAGAATGCACTCTAATTGTCAAATTCGGTTATGTATATGTATGCAGTATCATATTTGTTGCGGGGGTTCACGAATCCCGCGGTCGATGAGACAGCCAGCTCATGAAGTACGTACTTTTTGAAGAGCGGGTTGTGACTTTGGCGAGAGCTACGCTTCAGCTGGCGGAGTGACATGACACGATTTTCAAGGGGTCCTTGTAAAGCGCAGCAACTGATTGTCACCAGGGCAGCTACAACTGATTGACATCCAGTCCACGATCTCTGTGGCGATTAGCCCTTCCTGCTCCAAGTCATTGTAGCTCTTGTCTTCGCGTTGTCAGACGGACGGAGCTGGCGCTTCTCCGCCGCCGGTGTGTACGGGTCGTCGTCTCCATCATCGCGCTGGCTGTCGTCGTACCCGGGGCACCGCAGTAGAACGACTCGTCGTGCTCATCCAGGAGAGGCGCGTCCTCATGCGGCACACCGACAAACCCAATGCTACAGTCGACCTACCCTTATAACGATAACCTCTATAACGACAATTACATTACCCTTACAACGATATTTTCTGCACTCCATTGACTTGTGTATGCAATGCCTTACCTCTATAACAATATTGCTATAACGATATTACCCCTATGACGATATAAAAATGGGCTGACCAATCGATATTTTCCATTTTTATAACAATATCTAGCAGGGAATACCCAATGCTGTAGACAGCAAGCTGTTTCGGCCATAAAGGCCTCATCAGTACAGCTACGAGCTAAATAGGCCGAGCTACCAGCCATGGTGCAAAGGAGGCACCACAGACATTAAGATAGCTCGTCGCTCTAGCGCCAGAGTGCTCAAACTACAAAAAGTAGCGGGCATTGCGCAGGGAATATGTAGAAAACTAAAAATTCAAGATCGACTTCGTCTTTCATCGCCTTCACGGATCGCAGTCTCGTTTCTTTGAGTAACGTTGACGTCATATTTTGATGAAAGTTGAAATCAGGTCGTAAGGTACATTTAGTCAGTCGACGGCTCATGTATGTTTCACTCCTCCTAAAAAACAGTTATGCTTGTCTCCGAGGAAGCAAGGAGAGAAAGCAGTCGCTTTTCCACCCGCGTCTTTCTGGACAGAGCTAATGACTAGCTAGATCTTTGTCCGAAAAGGAGTTTTGTATGAAAACGCCTTGAGTGCACGTTCCATGATTAAATCAGCAGTGAACCCAATATGGTGTTGTTACTGTTGTATATGCTACAGTTGAACATCGATTATCCGACCACCTCTGGGCAGACAACTGTCAGGCGGTGTTCAGATAAGGCAAATGTTCCGGATAAGAAAAAACTGTCACTCACACACTTTCAGTGGTTATTACTAGCCGCACGACCTTTTTACTTTTTATTTTTCAAAATTTTCGTATTTTTGGAATGGCTCACTACATGCACAGTGCGTACTCTACGGCACGTGCGCCCAAAAAAACTGTTACGGATAATCGAATGGTCGGATAGTCGATGTGCCGATAATCGATGTTCAACTGTACATTGTACAGTGAACAGTCAACCTGATCTACCGCGCTCTGCGGGAATTCCTGCACTGTATAATTATTGCGGATATTTTCTTTCTTTATTGTCCATGCATTGCAGAGCACCCCTCGAGCACAGCTTCAGTAACTTCTTCACCCACCACCATTACACCAACCACCAAACCGACTACCACACCAACAACCACACCAACAACCACACCAACTACCACACCGACCACCACACCAACCACCACACCAACTACCACATCAACCACCACACCGACCACCACACCGACCACCACACCGACCACCACACCAACCACCATACCAACAACCACCCCAACCACCACACCAACCACCACCCCAACCACCACCCCAACCACCACACCGACCACCACACCGACCACCACACCAACCACCACACCGACCACCACACCAACCACCACACCAACAACCACACCAACAACCACACCGACCACCACACCAACCACCACACCGACCACCACACCGACCACCACACCAACCACCATACCAACAACCACACCAACCACCACACCAACAACCACACCAACCACCACACCGATCACCACCCCAACAACCACACCAACCACCACACCGACCACCACACCAACTACCACACCAACCACCACACCAACAACCACACCAACCACCACACCGACCACCACACCAACAACCACACCAACCACCACACCAACCACCACCCCAACCACCACACCAACAACCACACCAACCACCACACCGACCACCACACCGACCACCACACCAACCACCACACCAACCACCACACCAACCACCACACCAACCACCACACCGACCACCACACCAACCACCACACCAACTACCACACCAACCACCACACCAACCACCACACCAGCAACCACACCAACAACCACACCGACCACCACACCAACCACCACACCGACCACCACACCGACCACCACACCAACCACCACACCGACCACCACACCAACAACCACACCAACCACCACACCAACCACCACCCCAACCACCACCCCAACCACCACACCGACCACAACACCAACCACCACACCGACCACCACACCAACCACCACACCAACAACCACACCAACAACCACACCGACTACCACACCGACCACCACACCAACCACCACACCAACCACCACGCCAACTACCACACCAACCACCACACCAACCACCACACCAACTACCACACCAACCACCACACCGACCACCACACCAACCACCACACCAACCACCACACCGACCACCACACCAACCACCACACCAACTACCACACCAACAACCACACCGACCACCACACCAACAACCACACCAACCACCACACCAACCACCACACCAACCACCACACCAACTACCACACCGACCACCACACCCACAACCACACCAACCACCACACCAACCACCACACCAATCACCACACCAACCACCACACCAACCACCACACCAACCACCACACCAACTACCACACCAACCACCACACCGACCACCACACCAACCACCACACCAACCACCACACCAACTACCACACCAACAACCACACCAACTACCACACCGACCACCACACCAACCACCACACCAACCACTACAACAACAACCACACCAACTACCACACCAACTACCACACCGACCACCACACCAACCACCACACCAACAACTACACCAACTACCACACCAACTACCACACCAACCACCACACCAACCACCACACCAACAACTACACCAACTACCACACCAACTACCACACCAACCACCACACCGACCACCACACCGACCACCACACCGACAACTACACCAACTACCACACCAACTACCACACCAACCACCACACCAACCACCACACCAACCACCACACCAACAACCACACCAACAACCATACCGACCACCACACCGCCCACCACACCGACCACCTTACCGACCAACACCCAGACTATCTCAGCAACAGGTAATACAAATGATTCCTTAGCTGGTGGCGTGGGCTTTTCCTCAAATCTTTTAGCTACTAGCAAACCACAGCGGTCTGCAAACGGCAATGGTAAGTCAGCGTCGGCTTCCTACATGTGCATGTGTCTTGTGTTCTTCTTACTTCCTCCGTATACAAAAACTTCGTGACCTTTTCAGTCTGCGCACAGCTCTGGAATTGTTAAGTTTAACTTGGAATAACACTCGTGGCATTGTCTAACCTATTTACAAGCTATATCATACAAAGAAAAAAAGCAACTCAGACGAATGAGATTGAGCTTATTCAGTCTTATTCGCTCGTGTCATTGTCATCTGATGACGCTGACTCCGGATCGCCAACAGTCGCTTCTTCCGCTTGCATTTCGTTTAGCTTCTTGCCAGCTGCAGTGATGATCCGACTTACTACGTCTCTTCATCTCCAGAGCTGCGTACGCCTTGGTGTCGACTATATTCAGGCGTTCCCACCCGTGACCTCCATTATGCCGTGAAACGAGTCGTACTAGCACATCCACACACTTCGCATTTTCTCGGCAGGATACTTCTCTCAGCATTCTACAAGAGCTTCGAGGAGGTCCCTGGAATTCCCCTTGGCGGCGAAGAAAACTGCTGACTGGAGAGAGGCGAAGAAAGCCAGGTCGTCAGCATTCCGATTCGGAGTCTGCCTGGTTGCACGGCGACTGAAATGTTTCAACTTGCCGTGCGAGCGGAACAGCTTCATGTTCTCATGCTATGTATGAGGCCGCGCGCCGCTGTGCTGCTTACTAAGTACAGAGCCTGGCCAGCTTCAGAGCAGCGAGTGCCGCGTGACTCCACGTTCCAGCCGCGAGCACTACTGCGTCACTGTGTCAGTTTCGAGCAAGGAGTTAGTTTTGTTTTTACTTGACTCGTGACTTCCTGTCAGCAACGTCCTCACAAGCATGGCTTCTGTGGAGAATCTGTTCGGAACCAACCAAACCTACCCCGACATGAATGTTGGTTGCCGATGACGGCCTTTGGCGCGGTTAGTTGAAAGGGTTCTTGCTCAACAACACTGTTGAAAAAAGTCACAAAGTTTTGTATACGGAGGAAGTACACAGATTTACTACACGTAGTACCAAGATTGGGGCTGCGATTGTCTGGGATCTGGATCCAGATTTTGAACAGATTGACTGGACCCCTCGGATTTTATCAAGTCACTTTTGTTCACAGCCTTTCCATGACTTGGTGGACATAGCAAAATGAAAATGGCGATCCAAAAGCAATGTTTGGCGTACTCACCTGATGTAAGGCCATGGTAAAAATTATCTTTGATTCTCAAGTACGCGCGCACCGATTTTCGGCGGCGCACCGACGATTTTTTTAAAATTCTATGCATGCATATGCGCGCATTGGCCGGCCGGCCATGCATGATGTACAAATATGGAGTAGTGAAACACTACTCCCTGGCCTGAATTATAATGAACATGTGACCATGTACATAATGTGTGACCCTATCTTTGGAAATAAAAAAAATTGTGGGAAATAAAATAAAACATCGCTTGCTCGCACCGATTTTCACAGGATCATGACCTGAGAATCAACTTTATTTTTATCATGGCCTAAATGGTGTTGTCCAACTCCTGTCCATGTGGACCATGAATGAACACTCTAATTTCAGAAATTTTCGATGCTCAATATTTTCGGTATGAGGGCAAAAGGCCAGGTTAGGTGAACAGAAATTTTCGGTACAGGGAAGCTGTTCCCTATTGGATTATGTGTGTTAGTGTTTGTTTGGTGTATGGAAATTTTCGATATGAAGCAGATGCACCGAACGTACCGAAAATAGAAGTACTTCGAAGTACACCGAAAATTTATGAAATTACGGTAGTTAAACCAGCCCATTTCAGATAAAGCCTGTTTTGAACACAAGCCTGAATTAGTTGATTGATCACTAATTATTGATCATCATAAGTGGGATGAATCCTATGGATCCTGATCTGGATTCGTCTAATGGATCATCACGAACAAGATGAATCCTATTGATCTGGATCTGGATTCGACTACTTGATCATCATAAATACATGTACGATGAATCCTTTGGATCTTGATCTGGATTCGTTATGGATCATCGCGAATAGGATGAATCTTTTGTATCTTGATCTGGATCCGGCGGAATGATCACACCTCGAACTTCCATATGAGGATTGTTCCGTAAAGATGCACACACAGTGCTGCTCGGCAGCTCGGGGATACGTCGTCCACGGAGCAATTGCTCAGGGATTCACGGGGACAGCACTCGTGCTGCTGGAGCTGTGTGCAGGCCAGCAAGTGGGCCGCCACAGCACTGCTCCACAGGTAGACCATACTGACTGCCAGGACCAGTATTAGTACAGTAGTGGCAAGAGTACATAACCCCCAGAGTGTGCAACGCCTGATCCAGCTCTGCATAGGGTCTTGGTCGAGCGTAATCGGATCTTTGCGTCATAATACCGTACACATCGGAGGGGAACCCGGGGAGTCGCGGGTACACTCGGATCAAAAACAACGGCGCCCTGCCTCGAGACCGGGCTTGCGGTGGTGTGGAGTGTACGCATGACATCAGAAGATCCGATTCCGCTCGACCAAAACCCTGTGCAGAGCTGGATCGGCGTTGCACACTCTGGGGGGGTTATGTACTCTTGGTAAAACCTGTCAAGGCGACCACCAGGATAAGGCGACCACCTGCCCCAGAAGACCGCTGAAACCAGCACCAAGGGATGCCATTTCCAATCAAACGACCCTGGATAAGGAGACCAGCTGGTGACAGTGACCCTGTTTTGAAGGTCCCTTGAGCGGTCGTCTTAGACAAGTTTCACTGTGTCACTAGGGTTGCCGGACCGTGATGTTCTCAGATAGTGTCAGCCGATGTTCCTCATTCTTCCCTGAAGGACCTTCTCTGCTGCAGGGTGTTTTGTAAAGTGGTCATCGATTAGTCGAAGTACTTCGAAAGCTTTTAAGCACCGCAGGATCTGCCATTGTTTCGAAGCAGCCATGGCAACCAGAATTATGTCAGCATACACATATAACAAACATTTCTATAATAATAATTATACCGCTTGCATGTCTTTATCTCTGTACATTTCCTCATATAATTTCCTTCATCTTTCTGTGAGAACCGGACCCATGGGATAGTGAGAAGGCAATCATGCCTGTGCAATTGGTGAAGTAAAATAAAAGTCAACAACAACAACAACAACGGGAGAGGGTGAGCGCTGCAGGAGCAGATTGAGTTAACCACTGCTGATTAACTCAATCTGCTCCTGCAGCGCTCACCCTCTCCCATATGTAAAGTTCAAAGTGATGTAAATCACTTTCCAACTGTTTAACCCACAATCTCACCTTCTCATAAATTTATCTCTTATTGGTGATGCTGCCATCGTGAGAATAAAGAATTCAAACAACAACAACAACAACAACAACAACAACAACAACAACAACAACAACAACAACAACAACAACAACAACAACAACAACAACAACAACAACAACAACAACAACAACGGGAGAGGGTGAGCGCTGCAGGAGCAGATTGAGGTAATCACTGCTGATTAACTCAATCTGCTCCTGCAGCGCTCACCCTCTCCCATACTTGTAAAGTTCCAAGTGATGTAAATCACTTTCCAACTGTTTAACCCACAATCTCACCTTCTCATAAATTTATCTCTTACTGGCGATGGTGCCATCGTGAGAATAAAGAATTCAAACAACAACAACAACAACAACAACAACAACAACAACAACAACAACAACAACAACAACAACAACGGGAGAGGGTGAGCGCTGCAGGAGCAGATTGAGGTAATCACTGCTGATTAACTCAATCTGCTCCTGCAGCGCTCACCCTCTCCCATACTTGTAAAGTTCAAAGTGATGTAAATCACTTTCCAACTGTTTAACCCACAATCTCACCTTCTCATAAATTTATCTCTTATTGGCGATGGTGCCATCGTGAAAATAAAGAGTTCAACAACAACAACAACAATTATGTCCATCGTGGAAACTTTCCCGGCGGCCGCAGGTATATGTACCCAGCACCGCGTATAACTACATGCTGGAAAAACTGCCAGCGCAGAGAAATCAAAACAATTTCTATCGGACAAGACCTTCAACAGAATCTAGCGGCAAACAAATTGCAGGTTTTCGAGCTATACATTTACAATGTGTTTTTGGCCGTGACGCCGAGACCTCAGGTCGGCAGAGTCATCAATGCCCCCCAGCACTGCTGCGTCTCGGCACAGCGCCTGCTCATTTCTTGTGAGTTTGTCCTAGTCTCCGTACCATTGTCTTTCCTTATTCTTTTCGAGCTGGTTACGTGAACATAGTAAAACAAAATTAAAAAATTGTTCGTTGCCATCTTAAACCACTACCTGCATGAAGATTGTTTCCATTGTGGACGCTTACTCCCTTGCCTGTCCATGCCTTGTCCACAGATCCAGCAGCTACTCCAAACACACCCGCGTTAGCTGGCGACGTGACCTTTGCATTAGACGATTCAGCCACCAGCGCGCCACAAGAGGTTGCTAATGGCAATGGTAGGTCTGCCGCGACTGCGTACGTGTTTGAAGCGTTTGTGCTCAGATTTACAAGTGCATCACCTGATCTGTGCATGCATGTGACATAATTGTGGTCAGTCGTTAGTGCAATGATGTACTTGCTACTCCTGCTGTTGGCGTATCTAGCAAGCGAGCAAGTGTTATGCTTTGCTCAGTTAGTCACACTCCTAGTGTCAATAATGATTGTCGGAGTATGTTCAACTGCCGTCTGTGACCCCGTAGACCTCAGCTGCACAGTCTACGGGCCATGGTGTATTCTGGCTGTCATGTGTGTGCTGCGTGTGTATGTGTGTGTGCTATGTGTGTGTATGTGTGTGTGTGTGTGTGTGTGTGCGTGTGTGTGTGCGTGTGTGTATATGTGTGTGTATGTGTGTGTGTATGTGTGTGTGTGTGTGGGGGGGGGGTGTTAGTAGGCCGGTGTGTGTGTGTGTCAGTAGGCCGGTGTGCGCGTGTGTGTGGTGGTGGTGGGGGGGGGGGGGGTACGTCATCATAACTGTGTCGCCACCCGTCAGAAAGCAACGGGGTGTCGACGTTCCGCGGCTTAGCATCACCCTTTGTACCTGCCAGGGCATTCCCTCTGACCTGACCTGAAACTCACACCTGTGAGCTTTGCAGAGCCTCTTTCTGACACTAGTGGCTCTTATCAAGGTCAATGATGGGCATGTATGCGCATGTTCGATTCTCCTCATGGCACCCTTACATACAATAATTTTAAACATGTCTCTCTGACCATTGGGATGCGGGTTGTGTTTGCCCCACAGGCCCGATCAAGAGCGGTGGAAGCTACCTGTGGGTCATCGGTGTGGTTTTCGGCATTCTAATCCTGATTGCTGTTGTTGTCATGTTCGTGCTTCCCGCACGTCGTCATCAACTCATTAAAGCCACCAGCGTAATCTGGAAGCAAAAAAGGTGAGAGCCCCACACACTGTACAGTCACAGTAACATTTCTTTAGGACAAGCCAAGAGAGACTATTTGGGATTTTTGAGCAGAACGGTGAAGTGAACAGTCATGGTTACTGTAAGACATGTATATATAACGAGGAAGCAAATCTAACGTTTTAACGGATGACATTTCTTCGTTATAATAAGATCCGTTGAGGCCGTACTGCTTCATATATGCTGTGTGCGGATATGGCAGAATACTGCAAGATCGTTAACATATCTTCTCGTTAACCTATGAATTTTGGACAATCGTTAAATTTGCGACTCGTTATAATAACATGTCTTACAGTATTACAGGACCCAATCGTTCAGTTGCAGCCGTTGCCGCAGGCAAGATAAAACTCTGGACTGGTACGCATGGGTTCTGTATAGTGTTAAAGTTGTAGTGCACCCTGTTTTGTTTTTTTTTTCAAGTTTTTTTTTTACCCAGTGAGGAAAATGTTATTAACTCCAAAGCACAAAAAAGGCCAAAAACTAAACCAAGAACATATGCAATAACATGTTATTTATAAAGACAGGACAAGTGAATAATTAGTCAGTCCATTGTTAATGATAATCTCCGACGGTTACGTCGGCAAGCGAGCCTCCGCCACTGCCAAAGCAGCGTGGGCTCCGCACCCTGTGTGCACCCTGTGTGCACAGAACACACTCAGTATGTCGCCTAGAATTCTCCATGGTGTCTGTATTGAGTCCACTGTCTGTGCATTGGCAAATATGATTGAACACGTCCAGCACTCTGCTCATGTGTTTGAATGTGGCATTAAATATTTTGATTGCACATCCAAGTACATGTACCAGGTTGGTTGATGTTGGGCCTGAGTGTTCAACATCAACACAACATAGAATAATGATCAACAATGTACTGTTTAACACCCTACACAACCATAGATCAGCAATGTACTGTTCAACACCCCCACACAATCATAGATCAGCAATGTACTGTTCAACACCCCCACACAATCATAGATCAGCAATGTACTGTTCAACACCCTACACAACCATAGATCAGCAATGTACTGTTCAACACCCTACACAACCATAGATCAGCAATGCACTGTTCAACACCCAAAACAATCATAGATCAGCAATGTACTGTTCAACACCCTACACAACCATAGATCAGCAATGCACTGTTCAACACCCAAAACAATCATAGATCAGCAATGCACTGTTCAACACCCCACACAACCATAGATCAGCAATGCACTGTTCAACACCCTACACAATCATAGATCAGCTATGCACTGTTCAACACCCTACACAACCATAGATCAGCAATGTACTGTTCAACACCCCACACAACCATAGATCAGCAATGCACCGTTCAACAACCTACACAGCCATAGATCAGCTATGCACTGTTCAACACCCAAAACAATCATAGATCAGCAATGCACTGTTCAACACCCTACACAACCATAGATCAGCAATGCACTGTTCAACACCCAAAACAATTATAGATCAGCAATGCACTGTTCAACACCCTACACAACCATAGATCAGCAATGCACTGTTCAACACCCAAAACTATCATAGATCAGCTATGCACTGTTCAACACCCTACACAACCATAGATCAGCAATGTACTGTTTAACACCCCACACAACCATAGATCAGCAATGCACTGTTCAACACCCTACACAACCATAGATCAGCAATGCACTGTTCAACACCCAAAACAATCATAGATCAGCAATGCACTGTTCAACACCCTACACAACCATAGATCAGCAATGCACTGTTCAACACCCAAAACAATCATAGATCAGCAATGCACTGTTCAACACCCTACACAATCATAGATCAGCTATGCACTGTTCAACACCCTACACAACCATAGATCAGCAATGCACTGTTCAACACCCAAAACAATCATAGATCAGCAATGCACTGTTCAACACCCTACACAATCATAGATCAGTAATGCACTGTTCAACACCCTACACAATCATAGATCAGCAATGTACTGTTCAACACCCTACACAACCATAGATCAGCTATGCACTGTTCAACACCCAAAACAATCATAGATCAGCAATGTACTGTTCAACACCCTACACAACCATAGATCAGCAATGCACTGTTCAACACCCAAAACAATCATAGATCAGTAATGCACTGTTCAACACCCTACACAACCATAGATCAGCAATGCACTGTTCAACACCCAAAACAATCGTAGATCAGCAATGCACTGTTCAACACCCTACACAATCATAGATCAGCTATGCACTGTTCAACACCCCACACAACCATAGATCAGCAATGCACTGTTCAACACCCAAAACAATCATAGATCAGCAATGCACTGTTCAACACCCTACACAACCATAGATCAGCTATGCACTGTTCAACACCCAAAACAATCATAGATCAGCAATGTACTGTTCAACACCCTACACAACCATAGATCAGCAATGCACTGTTCAACACCCAAAACAATCATAGATCAGTAATGCACTGTTCAACACCCTACACAACCATAGATCAGCAATGCACTGTTCAACACCCAAAACAATCGTAGATCAGCAATGCACTGTTCAACACCCTACACAATCATAGATCAGCTATGCACTGTTCAACACCCCACACAACCATAGATCAGCAATGCACTGTTCAACACCCAAAACAATCATAGATCAGCAATGCACTGTTCAACACCCTACACAACCATAGATCAGCAATGCACTGTTCAACACCCTACACAACCATAGATCAGCAATGTACTGTTCAACACCCAAAACAATCATAGATCAGCAATGTACTGTTCAACACCCCACACAACCATAGATCAGCAATGCACTGTTCAACACCCAAAACAATCATAGATCAGCAATGTACTGTTCAACACCCTACACAATCATAGATCAGCAATGTACTGTTCAACACCCTACACAGCCATAGATCAGCTATGCACTGTTCAACACCCTACACAACCATAGATCAGCAATGCACCGTTCAACACCCAAAACAATCATAGATCAGCTATGCACTGTTCAACACCCTACACAACCATAGATCAGCAATGCACTGTTCAACACCCTACACAACCATAGATCAGCAATGTACTGTTCAACACCCAAAACAATCATAGATCAGCAATGTACTGTTCAACACCCCACACAACCATAGATCAGCAATGCACTGTTCAACACCCAAAACAATCATAGATCAGCAATGTACTGTTCAACACCCTACACAATCATAGATCAGCAATGTACTGTTCAACACCCTACACAGCCATAGATCAGCTATGCACTGTTCAACACCCTACACAACCATAGATCAGCAATGCACTGTTCAACACCCAAAACAATCATAGATCAGCTATGCACTGTTCAACACCCTACACAACCATAGATCAGCAATGTACTGTTTAACACCCCACACAACCATAGATCAGCAATGCACTGTTCAACACCCTACACAACCATAGATCAGCAATGCACTGTTCAACACCCAAAACAATCATAGATCAGCAATGCACTGTTCAACACCCTACACAACCATAGATCAGCAATGCACTGTTCAACACCCAAAACAATCATAGATCAGCAATGCACTGTTCAACACCCTACACAATCATAGATCAGCTATGCACTGTTCAACACCCTACACAACCATAGATCAGCAATGCACTGTTCAACACCCAGAACAATCATAGATCAGCAATGCACTGTTCAACACCCTACACAATCATAGATCAGCTATGCACTGTTCAACACCCTACACAACCATAGATCAGCAATGCACTGTTCAACACCCAAAACAACCATAGATCAGTAATGCACTGTTCAACACCCTACACAACCATAGATCAGCAATGTACTGTTCAACACCCAAAACAATCATAGATCAGCAATGTACTGTTCAACACCCCACACAACCATAGATCAGCAATGCACTGTTCAACACCCAAAACAATCATAGATCGGCAATGTACTGTTCAACACCCCACACAACCATAGATCTGCAATGCACTGTTCAACACCCAAAACAATCATAGATCAGCAATGCACTGTTCAACACCCCACCCAAACATAGATCAGCAATGCACTGTTCAACACCCTACACAACCATAGATCAGCAATGCACTGTTCAACACCCAAAACAATCATAGATCAGTAATGCACTGTTCAACACCCTACACAACCATAGATCAGCAATGCACTGTTCAACACCCAAAACAATCGTAGATCAGCAATGCACTGTTCAACACCCTACACAATCATAGATCAGCTATGCACTGTTCAACACCCCACACAACCATAGATCAGCAATGCACTGTTCAACACCCAAAACAATCATAGATCAGCAATGCACTGTTCAACACCCTACACAACCATAGATCAGCAATGCACTGTTCAACACCCTACACAACCATAGATCAGCAATGTACTGTTCAACACCCAAAACAATCATAGATCAGCAATGTACTGTTCAACACCCCACACAACCATAGATCAGCAATGCACTGTTCAACACCCAAAACAATCATAGATCAGCAATGTACTGTTCAACACCCTACACAATCATAGATCAGCAATGTACTGTTCAACACCCTACACAGCCATAGATCAGCTACGCACTGTTCAACACCCTACACAACCATAGATCAGCAATGCACCGTTCAACACCCAAAACAATCATAGATCAGCTATGCACTGTTCAACACCCTACACAACCATAGATCAGCAATGTACTGTTTAACACCCCACACAACCATAGATCAGCAATGCACTGTTCAACACCCTACACAACCATAGATCAGCAATGCACTGTTCAACACCCAAAACAATTATAGATCAGCAATGCACTGTTCAACACCCTACACAACCATAGATCAGCAATTCACTGTTCAACACCCTACACAACCATAGATCAGCAATGTACTGTTCAACACCCAAAACAATCATAGATCAGCAATGTACTGTTCAACACCCCACACAACCATAGATCAGCAATGCACTGTTCAACACCCAAAACAATCATAGATCGACAATGTACTGTTCAACACCCTACACAATCATAGATCAGCAATGTACTGTTCAACACCCTACACAGCCATAGATCAGCTATGCACTGTTCAACACCCTACACAACCATAGATCAGCAATGCACTGTTCAACACCCAAAACAATCATAGATCAGCTATGCACTGTTCAACACCCTACACAACCATAGATCAGCAATGTACTGTTTAACACCCCACACAACCATAGATCAGCAATGCACTGTTCAACACCCTACACAACCATAGATCAGCAATGCACTGTTCAACACCCAAAACAATCATAGATCAGTAATGCACTGTTCAACACCCTACACAACCATAGATCAGCAATGCACTGTTCAACACCCAAAACAATCGTAGATCAGCAATGCACTGTTCAACACCCTACACAATCATAGATCAGCTATGCACTGTTCAACACCCCACACAACCATAGATCAGCAATGCACTGTTCAACACCCAAAACAATCATAGATCAGCAATGCACTGTTCAACACCCTACACAACCATAGATCAGCAATGCACTGTTCAACACCCTACACAACCATAGATCAGCAATGTACTGTTCAACACCCAAAACAATCATAGATCAGCAATGTACTGTTCAACACCCCACACAACCATAGATCAGCAATGCACTGTTCAACACCCAAAACAATCATAGATCAGCAATGTACTGTTCAACACCCTACACAATCATAGATCAGCAATGTACTGTTCAACACCCTACACAGCCATAGATCAGCTATGCACTGTTCAACACCCTACACAACCATAGATCAGCAATGCACCGTTCAACACCCAAAACAATCATAGATCAGCTATGCACTGTTCAACACCCTACACAACCATAGATCAGCAATGTACTGTTTAACACCCCACACAACCATAGATCAGCAATGCACTGTTCAACACCCTACACAACCATAGATCAGCAATGCACTGTTCAACACCCAAAACAATCATAGATCAGCAATGCACTGTTCAACACCCTACACAACCATAGATCAGCAATGCACTGTTCAACACCCAAAACAATCATAGATCAGCAATGCACTGTTCAACACCCTACACAACCATAGATCAGCAATGCACTGTTCAACACCCAAAACAATCATAGATCAGCAATGCACTGTTCAACACCCTACACAATCATAGATCAGCTATGCACTGTTCAACACCCTACACAACCATAGATCTGCAATGCACTGTTCAACACCCAAAACAATCATAGATCAGCAATGCACTGTTCAACACCCTACACAATCATAGATCAGCTATGCACTGTTCAACACCCTACACAACCATAGATCAGCAATGCACTGTTCAACACCCAAAACAACCATAGATCAGTAATGCACTGTTCAACACCCTACACAACCATAGATCAGCAATGTACTGTTCAACACCCAAAACAATCATAGATCAGCAATGTACTGTTCAACACCCCACACAACCATAGATCAGCAATGCACTGTTCAACACCCAAAACAATCATAGATCAGCAATGTACTGTTCAACACCCCACACAACCATAGATCTGCAATGCACTGTTCAACACCCAAAACAATCATAGATCAGCAATGCACTGTTCAACACCCCACCCAAACATAGATCAGCAATGCACTGTTCAACACCCTACACAACCATAGATCAGCAATGCACTGTTAAACACCCTACACCACCATAGATCAGTAATTCACTGTTCAACGCCCTACACAATCATAGATGAGCAGTACACTGGGGATTTCCCCTTGCCAGTATTGCCTTATAAAGGATGTCGCGTGTCCCTTCTCAGCTATTACTTTTGTCTTTTGATGCAATCCACCAATGTATATTGATAGTTGATACCGTATATTCTCTATTATAAGCGCCGTGCTTATATATTTTTCAACACCCCTCTACCCCGTGCTTATATTGGAGACCGCGCTTATATTGGAGACCGTGCTTATATTTTTCAACCAATACATTCATACAGAGCAAGAAGAAATACATGCTAGATATCATGCATGCAGCATTAATTTCCACCAAGACCGTGCTAATAATGGAGACTGTGCTTATAATGTTTCGAAAGGTGCTCACAGTGTGCTAGTATTAGAGACTGTGCTAGTAATGGAGACCTGTGCTTATAATAGAGAATATACGGTATGTTTGTATCCCCTGGACGTACATTCTGTTGAAGCTGAACTTCACGTTTTGGCCACGTGTGGAGTTTGTAAAATTTGCTTCACTGGACGCCTCCTCACAATGTGTGTGTGTGTGTGTGTGTTTGTGCGTGCGGATGTGCGAATGTGGGTGTGTCCATGTGTGTCTGTCTGTCCCCGTTCTCTGCATTTCTGCGCTAGTGGTGGGATAAGCAATGGCAACGCTCACACGTATGCCACATGGAAGCCGCGCCTCGGTGGCAAGGCCAAGCAGAGCGTTCCTCCGCAGAGCTTCTCAGTGGCATCCGTAGACACGTTTAGTGTGAAGATACGGGACAGGTCTTACAAATGGGAAGATTACGGTCCGAAAAACCTGACCGCCGATGATCTGGGCTTAACCAGGGTTTCCATGCAGTCGGACTATGCTTCGGCCGACGATCACAGTTCGTTCAGTGAACACCAGGCGTATCAGAGGCTGAAGAGCGCGGCGCTCTCGCGGTCGCACATTGCAATCCTGGAGACGGACTCGTCCGCCGGGAATCACAGTTCCCTCATCCACGACGAGCCGTATGAGAGGCTGGCCGGGTCGGCAGGACAACGCTCGGCAACCATGGAAACGGCCGACGGCGCTCAGTGCACCGGCGGCCTGGGCGGAGACGACGGTGATAGCTTGCACTTTAAACTGAACAGTACTGGAAAGGGGACCACTCCTCACTACTCTGTCCCTCAGCGATCTGCTTCCAACACCGATGGTGATGCAGAAGACGGCGGCAAATCAGCACAAGAAGGCCTTGGCGGCGGTGGAGATCCTCATTACGAAGACATGGCCGCGAACATCTCTCAAGTGATGGCGTTGAATGGCGGCGTTGACGACAGACGTGAATCGCTTCAGAGCCATGCCGAGGAGATGGCGCCGGGCAAAACCGGCTGGGACAACGTATCCACGCTGCAGAGCAAACTGTCCTACCCGTCACAACACCAGCCGGTCAGCGTGTGCTCGACTATCACTGACGAATGGGTCGACGACGACGACGAAGCACCCGTCTGCATCGGTCCCGCCGCGGACGGCATGCCAGACGAAGATACCGTCGTCGACGGCGGCAGCAACTACGACCGTGGGCTCGGAATGCACGCGTCTGCCTACGACTCTCTCCGCTCAGATACGCCATCGGCCAACGTCAACACCAGTGTGGAGCCCACCACGTTCAATAGCGACGAGCAAGAGGACGCTTACGCACGCACTGTTTTCGCAAGGCCGAGCAAAATGGGTCGCTCCATGAAGAAGTCGATCAAGCGCATGGCCCAAACGAGTATTGCCAAGAAGACACACGCACCAGGCCCAGGCGAAGCTAACCTGTATCGGTCAACCCTCAAGAAGAACTCGCAGCAGTCAGAGGAGGCTGAAGACATTGATTCCGAAAACCCGTACTCGCTCGTCAACTACACCATCGACATACAACCGGTATCCTTGGCAGAGACACGCACAACTTCCACTGTGGAGTCGGACATCGGTCGTCCCAGTGTGTGTGTGAGCTCTAGTGACTTTGTGGAGGACACTACCACCTTGGAACCCGGTGCCAAGAACGTATGGGCACAGGAAAGCAACGTGGGCTCACCGCTGTTCCGCAAAATCTCCGGCATGCTGGTCAGGCAGTAGCTGAAATCGACAGCCTGATCTGTATCTCTCTCGCTCTCACTCTCTATTTTTTCTCAATTAAGCTAATCCGTAGTTCAAAAGACGATATAGTCCCACTGCTTTCTTTTATAATGTTATAGTATACATTATTGTCTAAATGAAGTGTCCCACTTTCTCTCGGGCTTTTTTTAATTCTAGAAATGTTTTTTGAACTCCTGCAAACTTTTCTGCTTGCTAGTCCGTACGTCCCAAGATGATGTGGTCGCACGGCTTTCCTTTTAAACTTTATAGTATACAGATTGTCTAAATGAGTCTCTCTCTCTCTCTCTCTCTCTCTCTCTCTCTCTCTCTCTCTCTCTCTCTCTCTCTCTCTCTCTCTCTCTCTCTCTCTCTCTCTCTCTCTCTCTCTCTCTCTCTCTGTCTCTCTCTCTATATATATATATAATTATATACAATGGAAGCGGTCCTCACCAAGAAAACACAATCCGTTGCTACTCCGAGTTTCTTGAGTTTTTCAATCGTCAGGCAACTTTTCTAACTGTTAGAAAAGTTGCCTGACGATTGAAAAACTCAAGAAACTCGGAGTAGCAACGGATTGTGTTTTCTTGGTGAGGACCGCTTCCATTGTGTACTAGCTCCAGTGCACCCCAGCGCTGTTGAGCCCTCTTTGCGGTGGACGGGACCACTTCCCCCTGTATATAATTATATATATATATACTCAATCTGCGGACAGAACTGTTTCGTCCTTTGTGGACTCGTCAGCGCAGCACAGAGGAAATGAGGCCGAACCTAATAGCAATGGCAATATATATATATATATAAATATATATATATATATATATAGATTGAGTATATATATACATTCGCCTGGGCACGCTTAGAGGCCTTAATCAGCTGCGGCAGTTGGCAGGGGATAAGTCACGGTGGAATGGCACCCCGCGGCACTCATCTTCCTCTGCCGAGCCGCGTCCTTGACTTATCCCCTGCAGGGTGAACATCGTGCACGAACAGTCTACCGTCTTTCTGACATTGCCACTCGAACTTGACAATAGAAGCTGCTTTTCGTATGTGCAGTTACATTGATGGTGTTTTTGTCTTATGTTTGTGAATCCTTCCCGGAAGCAAATGCTGGTTTTTATGCATTCGTGTAATTACTCAGCGTTATTTGCAATAATAATAATAATAATAATATATATATATCTTTCTCTCTATCTCTCTAGCTTTTTTTAATATATAAAAAGCTTTTTTCACTCTTCCCTGCTTGCTAGTTCTTTCGCCCCAAGACAATGTGGTCACAAGCAGGGAGTCGTAAAATACCGGGAGGCGACACGAGATGCACAACCGCGTCGGATGATTGCCTCAGCTCGGGCACGAGTGCTGAGACCTCACGCGCTGCATGGCGAGGGACTTCCCATGAGGTCAAAGCGGCGCAGGTCATGCAAAAGGACGCGTTCGCTGTTTGGTCCAAAAAATTTGAAAACTCAATAAAATTATCCTGCACACAACGAATCCAGTGTCAGCAGTTCGTTTTGTTTTTCTAAGTAATAATACTTTGTGCCTTGGCCTTCGAAGTAAAGGATGATGGAGCTTGACAGAGATGACTGCCAAAGTGATGAGTCCACCGTGGAAGATGTAGATGACGCCACGTATTCACTTGGTGACCTGAGTTGTGGGGATGTTCAGCTGTGGGCTACAGGTGAGATTCTTTCGTTTGCATGTTTTTGTCTCTTCCTTGTGGACACGAATGTATAATCTGTAGCATACCTAAGTGCCCGAACTGACCCGATAAATTAGGTGGTCGACACCATCCTTTTCATCCTAGTCTGCCCACGATGCATTGTCTGTTCACTGTGACAGGATATTTATTGAAGTCCTGAAAATTTACGTGTGTACCTAGTATGTATCATCACCGTAGATGATGTAAACCTCCATCCTCAAACCATACTTTGTCTATGTGCAGATCGATGTAAGAGTGGTAGTGCCATCATGGTGTACAGGCCTATGGAAGGTGCAGTGATCCATGGAATTTGCAAACTGCTGACAATGAGACAGGCGAGTGTTACTGAGGCGACGGAGTCATTCCTGCATGTTATTATGACACGGTCACACAAGGCATCAGGTACTGCAAATCTGCTACGCCAGGAAGTGTGCCAGCTGAAGGCATGCAAGGGTGCTGATATTTCGCAAGCATGGCAACAAATGCTGTCCGTCATCGCAACAGCTATTCCCGAAGTGAAAATCAATTGTGAAGGTCAGTGCGTTTTGCATGCATGTTGGAAAAAAATTGGCTTCTGACTAGGTATGCAGACTAGGTATGCAAACGCTGGCTTTTGAATACTAGTACAGTCTCTGCAACCACCAGTCCTTATATGTTGTCTTTTTCTTTTCTCTTCTTCAGATTTGGAAGTTACATCTGCAGTGCTAGCGAATCTGATAAGCTACCTGCATGCCACGGCTGCCGCTGCTATCAGGAAAGCGTCAATAGCACCATCCAAAGCGGCTGAAGCCATCCCCGAACCGGTGATTGACAATTTGTCTCACCTTGCTGAAAAGTACCATGGTGGTTGGTGCTTGGTGGCCGTGCGGCGTGAGCTGGAAGGAGCAAGGTGTCGCAACGACAACTTGCTGCAGCTTATACCTTTATTTGGCAAGGATGCCGTGACAAGCCTTCAGCCTTGTTTGGAGAATTCAGGTGGCCCGGCGTGGCTCGGAAGCTCTGTATAAGACACCACACGTCACAGATAAAAACAACTGAACCAGTGATATGTGAATTTTGCGCTTGTGTGTGTGTGTGTGTGTGTGTGTGTGTGTGTGTGTGTGTGTGTGCTTCTGTGATAAGTGGTATAAGCAGTCCACAGGGTATTCACCTTGAGTGCATTCGCCGATAGTGTGACTTTCGTCGCACAGAACCTTCTTCAGTTGGTCAGGTGACTCGGCGTGGCTCGGAAGCTCTGTATAAGACAAAATACGACACAGATAAAAACAACTGAACCAGTGATATGTGAATTTTGCGCTTGGGTGTGCACGAGCATGCATGTGTGTGTGTGTGTGTGTGTGTGTGTGTGTGTGTGTGTGTGTGTGTGTGTGTGTGTGTGTGTGTGTATGTGTGCTTGTGTGTATGCTACTGTGATAAGCGGTACAAGCAGTATACAGGATATTGACGGGTATTCACCTTGAGTGCATTCGCCGATAGTGTGACTTTCGTCGCAGAGAACTTTGCTCAGTCGGTGAGGCGACTCGGCCTTACGTTTCCTGAAGGCAATGTGTTCAGAACAGTTATGAACAGCTATGAACAGTTAAGAAATGACAAATATTGTTTGCAGTTCATGGGCCATATAGATGTGAAACACTTTGAATGCAGAAGAATGAGGATAGTGGCATCAAATACTGCATGGATTCTGTTTGATATGCTACTTTTTTTTCCCTTCCATGGAAAGGTGAGTACATCGTCGAACTTCATCTCGAAACTTCACACAAACCTAGAATGGAACTTGGACAACATGAAGGGGCCATGGGCATGGTGTGTTTAGTGGAGAACTATTCCGAAAACAGGGTGTCATTCGCATTGACTCAATTCAAATTTGAGTACATTTCGTGAATAACTTACCTTGACATTTCGTCGTCTCCAAAGCAGTGAACTTCCAAAAAAAAAATTAAAAGCCACGGCTCAACCTAAGGTAATGCGTGGTACGTATCAGAAACAATCAGCTTTCGCTCTGGAGATCCAGAATAGCCTCGAAGCATATAGCAAAAACAATTGAGAAAAAGAAGATGACGACGACGTTTCAATCACGCTTCAAATTTCGCGGGTCGAGTGCGGCAATCCTCGGATCGTGAAATGTGTGGCGTGTCGCCTCCCGGTATTTTACGACTCCCTGGTCACAAGGCTTTCTTTTTAATTTTTTATTGTGTACAGATTGTCAAAATCCGCGATATTCATGTTAAAACAAAATGGCGTCACGATTTATTGAAAGTGGTATAGTAGGGAGTTCAGTCACGTGACAAATCAGCTGAAAACAGCCTTCACGCGGGTCACGTACATTAGCATGGTAGCGGTGGCACCATGGACTTCGCTGCAGTTTTTGTCGAATTGCTTTGTCCTGCTTTCTTTTTCAAAGTTGAAAGTTGGTGCGTTTGATAGCTGAGGTCTTCCTGCTCGTTTTGGTGCCGCACTTGCTTGGGCAACTGTAGTTTGAGCTTTTTGTTGTGAGGAGTGTAGTTTTCAATTGGATTTTTCATCCGTTTGGAGGGAGTACACGGCCAGGAAACACCCACCATCGTGTTCAGCGACCTCGAAATATGTAGAATAGTGCTTTCTTCTCGAGCTGGGGGATCGCTCTTCATCGCGCTTTCAAGACTTTCACCTCCTGGTCGCCCAAAATGAATGAATTTCTGGACCCAATATGTTCAAGCGCTAGGAGTGTTTCAGATGATTTGTTGGCCCTAGTGAAAGATTGCACCTGACGGAGACTTTCGCTATTGCGACAAAAGTGAGCTATAATTTTGTATTCGACTCGTCGCCTTGAAACCAGAAAGAAATTGCTATGGAGTGGTGCTCGGACATGGATCGCGTCAGTGATTGGATTGTACGCATATTTCACTTTTGTGCATTTTACATGTAAAATGTACATGTACATGATTGATCAACTGTGTGACAGCCGCAGTAAAGTTGGGCATCAGAAGATCAAACTGTTGTATTTATTATTTTGTACATGTATAATACAACCATAGCCATCAGTGCTCACTTCAATTTCATAGTAATGGAACTCGTGTTCAATGGATTTAGCATTGTTGCTATGGTGGTTGCTACGGGCGCCGCGCTCGTTCTTATTGGTCATCGCTTGCCGAAATATTATATATTGATCAATATTAGGACTAACCAACCTGTATTGCACCTATATTACACCTATATTGCACCTACAAGCCAGATTTCATAGCATTCTGACAATATTGTAATGTTGCTAAGCGTTTTCTAGGCTTTCCGGAAAACCCTGTTGGTGCCACAGCAGTATGGCATTCCGCATATTATTATTACTTGTATTATTATTATTAACTTTTATTTTACTAGGGTGTTTCCCACAGACCTATGTACATCATGATGAAGGTTGGCGTATGACTTTGACGCCTCGTATCTCTGGTATCCTTCAAGATTTTTCATCCAAATTTTCTGTGCTATCTCCTGTACTGTAGTTCTTCCCGAAAACAAACGGTTTTCTTGGTTTACTACGAAAGAAAAAAATACG